CTGGGGGGGCCCCAGCCGCGGAGATGCCCGGTGCTCCTGGGGGGCCCCGGTGCTCAGTGGCTGGAGCCCGCCCCCCGGCCCCCCGGCTCCCCGCCACACACCATTTGGTAATAGGCCACCAAGGCCAGGACAGACTCGAAGTCGTTCTTCCTGCACATCTTCTTGCAGACTTCAGGGTCGGCATCGGTCTGCAGGGAGGAGGTGGCGTGAGCATTGCCGTGGAAGCAACACGGATGTGGAGGGGACACTCCGGAGTAGTGAAGGGGATATGGGCTGGGGACACGTGTGGGCCCCACCGCACCAGGATATGCAGCAGCTCCTCCAGGTAGCAGCGAATGACACCCTCGTCCTCATACAGGGCCCAGCTGCGCTGCTGGGCATCATCCTTGTGCCGGGCCAGGTCTGCGAAGATCACCTCCAGCCTCTGCTGGTCGTGGCAGACCTGCCCTGAGGGCAGAGCCGTGCTCAGGTCCTGGGGGTAGAGGGCGGACAGGGTTCAGTGTGCTCTGTCCATCACCAGCCCTGGAAGCTCGCACCCCACGTGGCCCGCACTGGGTAGGGGCTTTGACCTCTGGGGACAGGATTCTGCATGAGACATGTCTCTTCCCAGACCCAGATGGACAGTCCCTGGACAAGGGCCATGGACTCTGTCACTGTCTGAACTTGACTTTCTCAGTCACTGCCTGTCATCCACCCCCAACGCCTCCCCAGACCCTCTGCCCGGGTACTGGCCACCATGCCCACCAGAATTACAGAACAGAGCCCTAGGGCACCTTTGGCACACTCATCCTGTCCTGTAGCCTGGGCTCAATGCCCTAGGCCAGTTTCGACCAGAGCCCCAACCTTGGCAAGGGACCCTGCTGGCCCCACAACGCCCTGCCCCTCGCTCCCTCTCGTCCGTCCATGTTGGTAGAGGTTTCGTCCTAGCTCTTGGGCACGTCTCTCCTCACTCGGGCCGCTGTGTCCATTCCTCCCTTGAAGCTGGACAGAACTCAAGCCTGCCCACTCGTGGTCTCCTCTGTCACCTGCTCAGGCACGCCCACACCTCCTGCCCCTCGCTCCACGTTCCCGCCACGCTGGCTGTGGCCCGGTTCTACTTCCTCCTGGAACCAAGCGTGGTCCCACCTCACGGCCCCTGTCCAGGCTGAGCCTCTGCCTGGAATGCACGCCCGCTTTCTCCTCCAGGGATCAGCACCAGCACAGTGAAAGCTCGAAGCCAGGGCTAGACGGGTACCGGTTCCATATGAGCCGGACCGGCGTGTATGGGTTGGAGGGGCGAGGTGGGGGCAGCAGGGTGCTATGCGGCCACGCTCACCTTGCCCTCCACCAGCGAGAGGAGGACCTGCTCCATGACCGGTGAGCTGGCTGGCACAGTGGCCTGGATGTGGCCCACCACGACGCCGATGGCCACACGGCACAGTTCGTGGCTCAGGCCGGTGTTTCTCCGCACGAGCTCCATCAGCTCCGCCCCGATGGTCCTCGGCACGGCCGACTCGGCCACGGCCTTCTCTTCTGCGGGCCCCAGGCTCAGTGCACCCAGGTCTAGGTCCTCTGGAGCTGAGGGAGCACGAGCTGCCTCCTCCTCTGCAGGGGGCTCAGGGGTGGGAGCCTTGTTGGGGGAGGGTTGGGCCTGGGACACTGTGGTGTGGGCGCTCCGGCGGGGCACAGGTGGGGGCGTGGGCGAGCAGCTGGGGCCTGGCTCTGACGGGCTGGAGCCAGTATACGTGTCCAGGGAGGTGCTGCTGACTGAGGAGCCGCTGGACACAGAACTGGTCCCGGAGGGCGTGGCGTTCCGGCTGCCTAAGAGCAGAGTGGGTGCTGGGCTCGGCAGCTGCGGGCACCCCAGCCCTCCTGACCCAGTGCCCACGCCCCACAATACATGGCCCAGTTCCGGCCCTGACTCCCCACTCAGCCCAGAGCCCCCATCTCCCTGACGGACAGAGAAATCACCCCAGGCACAGGGTGCCCCCCAGTACCCTCAACCCTGCCTTCTCACCGCTCCCCGAGGCCATCAGGGCCTCTCGGTCTCGGCGCTTCACGGGTGGGGGCGGTGTGGTTGGTGCTGCGCGGCGAGGCTGCGGAGGGATCTGGGGACAGAATGGACTCTAGACAGGCTGCCACCTGGGCCCTGACTCTGGGCATGGGCGGGCTGTAGCCCATGCCCGAGATGGATGGACCCGTGAGCCTGGGGATGCAGCTTCAGCCGCACCCACCCTCTCTCCAGGATGGCCACACCATGCACCTGGTAGAGTCCGCCATCCGGCCCGAGGTGTTCCGAACTGGGCAGGCTGTGCTGCCGCTCGAACCCAGCTCGACACATCCCGTTGGGCTGCCTGGCGGTGGCATCCAAATGATGATCGCTAGTTGATGGGGTCATAGTTAGGGCGCTGGAGGCTGAGGGTGCTCTGCGAGACAGGGTCTCTTTCCGGTGGTGGATCAGCTTCCTGATGGAGGGGCGAGGAGAGATTACTGGAGGGTACCTCGCAACTCCCCAAGTCCTCACATGCTCCCTAGGGGATTCTGGGACCAGGCCCCTCACACCCAGATGTCCCCATGCGCCACCCTACTCCACACCTCCCCAGGCCACTCCCCATCCTGCCCTCTGCATTCACTGAAGGAATGTGCTCAGGGGTGTCACGCCCCCCACACCCAGATCCCCACCTTTCTCAGGCCCCCACCCAATGCTCACTGGAGGACGCCACGCTGCTCCAGGCTGTACTTGCCGCCATCCCGCATGGCTGTGTTGTGCACGGCCTCGATGGCCCGGTCGATGGCCTGGAGGACATCCTGCTCCAGGCCCTGTGGAGGCGGGCGGGCAGTCGGACCTGGGTGCCGCACGGGCGTGCTCTGCCCAGAGCCAACCCAGCTGGAACCCAGGGACCACTAAGCTGAAGACCAGAGACCCAAGCGATAGCACCACCGGGAACACCAGCACGGGGCCAGGACACACCCAGCCTATCCCAGGGCTTAGCTCGGCCAGGAGGCCTCCAGTGTCTGGAATCCTTAATTCATCACTCTGAATTCTAAGGCTGACCCTAACCCCACCCCACCATGGCCTGGTCCTCCTGGCCTTGGAGAGCACTCCACAGGCCCTGGGAGCTGAAAGTGGAGGGAGCCCCTCCCCAAATCCACACTGCCAGCCTTCACCCCACAGTCATCTTCCAGATCTGCCCTGGGAAGCGGGTCTGTGTTTGTGGAGAAGGATGGCCACGAGGGAGGGCCCTGGCCCTGCTCCAGGCACTGTGTTGTCACCCCACAACCTGGGGGTCCAGCCACCCTGCCTGCCTGGCAATGGGGCAGGGTATGAGGGAGCAGCTGTGGGGGCAGTCACTGGTCCCCTGGCCCTGGCACTCAGGGTCCACTAGACGACACAGGAGCCTCAGATCTGAGGTGAGTTCACCCTCGAGTGGGTCTGACAGCTTCCATGATGGGGACAAACGGACACAGAGGTGGCACAGTCCTACCAGGGGGTAAGGGGTGTGCCCGAGAGTGAGCAGACAGGGGACAGGGTTGGGGGCCACAACGAGAAAGACCCACAGGTCCAAGAGAGTAAGCAGGACTTGGAGGGAGTGAGGAACTCAGACGGCCGAAGAGGCAGCAGCAGAGTGAGAAAACACAGAGAGAAACCAAAGGCTGGAGACAGGGCGGGAGCGAGCCAGAGGCAGAGAGAAACACGGGTGGAGAGGGGCAGGGCGACACAGAGCTGGGGAAACCGAGACAGGAGGGATGCAGAAAGAACTGGAGCTAAAGGCAGAGAAGACGTGAACTAAGAGAGAGGACATGACCAGAGACCAGTGACCGAGAGCTTGTAGGTTTCCTGCCCTCCCCAAGCACACGGCCCACCAGTCCTGGCTGTTCCCTGACTCGGGCCCAGCAAAAGCAGCAGGCCTTTCCCGAGAGGCCCCCGCAGCTGCCAGCCCCAAGAAGGCTGGGTCAGACACACTCCCCCACGTTCAGCTCAGCACCCCTCAATAGGATCAGGCAAGGGTCTGCGAGGATGCTCCTAGGACCCAGGGCCCATCCCTCTGGTAAGACCAGATGACATTTCCAAATTTATCCTGTTATTTCTGTCCTAAACTGGGCTGGGACAGGATGTTTCCAAGAGACCGGGGACGGGGATGGGGTGAGGTGTCTGGCACAGGCCGGGCAGCTCTGGGCCCTTCTTGCTGTGGCTGGAAAAGACCAGCTGGAGACGCCGCACCCAGCCCCTGCAGCAGGGCTGCTCTTGGGGAAGCAGGAACTGGGACTGCAGCCTTCCCTGCAGGAAACAGGACCATGGCCAGGCCAGGGGAAGCTGGGGGGACCCACTTCCTCACAGCTCCTTGGTGCCCTGGAATGCCCCCCCTCTAGGCTGGGCACAGGGAGGGGAGGAGTGGGGTTCCTCCACTCACAGGAGGAGGAAGCTTGAGAAGTCAGGGCCTGAGGCTTGGGGTGGGGTAGGGACAGTGCCAGGGATGGGGTCCTTGGTTCAAAGAGAGTTCAGGGGTCTTGGGAAGAGCGCAGGGGGTGGCTGAGTACATGACAGTGGAAGACACTGAGGTCTCAGGGCTTGGGAGTCATCCAAAGGATGGTGTCTGTGGCTCCAGGGTCCAGGCGAGGGGAACGAGGACCTGGAGTGTGGCTGGGAAACAAGTGATGACCAAAGTGGCTTGGGTCTCGGTGGTGGCTCCAATTTAGGATATGAGGTCGGGGGCAAGAGTGTGGATCCTAGAAATCCAGGGAAGGGGCATATTAACGTCTGGGATCTCAAGTATTTGGGATGACTGGCCAGAATTTGGAGGAGAGGTGTCTGGTCCTGGGGTCCCAAAGGGCCAGTCCGAATGTTGGGCTTTCGGTAGGTCAAGAGTTTGCCGTCAAGGGAGAGGTCTTTCGTGGGCGACGCCGGCTCTTGGGGTGTCTCGGTTCCCGTGAGTGTGGGATCTTAGGGGCAGGGTCTCAAACTCCCTGTGTGCTAGAGGTCCCGGCCTCGGCT